TGGTAGATTTGCTTAATGATGCTGAAAATAAAGGTCCTGAAATGTGTGGACAAATAATCATTTTCTAAAAGATATTCTCCCAAAGTCACGTAAAATTTTTTTGGCAAAAGTTGCTGACCATTGGTCAGGATGTCATGTGAATTTTTCAATTTTGAATACTAATATACAGAGCATAAATAGTATTATATTTAGCAGGCATGCAATCCAAAATAGATTTATTGAGGCAACACTTCACCAAGCTTGAGGTTAAGTATGCTAAGATTAAGGAAGAGAAAGCTGAGCTTGAGGCCATGAATGCTGAGATTCCTGAACTTAGAAAGAAGTTCGCTGAATTTGAAACAAAGAATACTGAACTTGTGAATGAAAATACGAAGCTCAGGCAGGAACTTAGAAGTCGAATCAAAGAGTTGGAGAAGAGTAAGACAGATACTGATATCGATAATGCTAGATGTGATGTTGAGATTGCTGAGATTAAGGCTGAAGTAGTAAAACTAGTCGAAGGCGCAGTGGTAAAGGATTATAATGAAGAGAACAAAGAGCTAATTTCTCTTGAGGAGGTTGACAATGCACCTTGCTCCATTGCAGACTAACCCAATAATGCCGAACAAAAGTGCCTCAAACCCTCTTCACCTGTGAGCTGTCAGAAGTTATTGGAGGATGGAAAGACAAATGTTTTCTTGGATGAAACACATAAGGAAAAGGTTAGTAATAAAATAAGGCAAAGGAATAGGAAGAAAAAGCTTCAGCGTGAGTTGGCCCACCTTCTCATAAATCCAAAGCCAGAAAATAACACATCTTATTTATGCGAAGAAAAAGGTGATCAACCCCTAGAGGGGTCAGATAAGCATATTTCATTCCAGGAAACCTCTCCTACCCCTATTGTTCGAAAAATACCATACAATCAGAAAGTTGAGCAAGGTATAATTCAGGAAGTGATTTCATTTATTCAAAAAAGAGTACTCATCTCATCAATTGACATCCTTGAGTCTCGAGAGATTGAAACAGTACCAGCTGATAGGAAGGTCAAGATTTGGCTCAATTATTTTCTGATGCTAAAGTTGCGGAAGGTAGAACGTTAGAAGCTAAACGAAAAGAACTTGTAAGTTAGTATAATTATAGCAAATCATATCAAAATAAGGTTGCAGAAATTTGCTCTAAAACTGGTGTAGCCGAAAAAACTGCAAAGTCTCAAGTTTACGCCATGATTAAGGCTTCTCTATCCAATGTTTCAGATTCAAATCTATATAAGAAGACTGAAAGAGCTGGAAGTTTTTATAAGCTATTTGGGAAGATTATCGATCCTGCAACAAAAAAAGAAGTTATGGGAATCGGTATTAATAAAGTTTATGGAATTTCGTATGGAGTAAGAGGTATATCAGAATTAAGTAATGCTCAAATACTAAACATCATTAATCGAGTCATAGAAAAGGCACGTGACATCCTGACCATTGGTCAGAAAAAAAATTATGTGACTGAAAATTCTGAGACTAGCGAAAAAAACTTACCTATACCTGAAGAAAATTCATTCTTATCAGCCGATTTGGATGATTATATAAATATACTCCTGGGAAGTTTTGACGATAAGACTGCTAATTGGGACACAGCATATGAGAACTCAGCTAGGGTAGAGAAAGAAGAGGTGAATGAAGTTAAGGGTCCCCTAGGGTCCAGTCAGATGATGATGTATATTTTGATGAGGAAGTCGATCATGATTCCGCATCCTATCCAGTGAAAGAAACGAATGATAATAATGACTATAGTCACGATAACAATTCTGAAGAAGATATGGGCCTTTGCAATAGAAAAGGAGGAAACAGCCAGAAAAATCAAAAGTGAGTTAATGTTAAATTTGAACATATTTCAGCATAAAAATCATATTTGGCATATAAAGTAAAATTAATTTTTCCTGACAGTTTCTCCCTTTCTATTGCAAAGGCCTCATATGCCAGACGATTCAGATGATGATGGATATAATGGATACGGTGGATATAATGAATATGGTGAATGTGATAAAGGTTATTACTATTGTGATAGAGGATACGAAAGAAAAACCTCCCCAATGATGAGTTCTATTATCTCACCGGTAACCGCCTAGGAGAATTATTAGACTGAAATATCATATAGGTTTATTTTTTTTTTCCAGCTTTATCGAGATCAGCAAATTAATAGATATCAGAGTTACCATATTTGTTTTATGTTTTGCGATGATTGTAGCATCGGAGAGTAACAGTTCCTTTGTATTCGCATTACGCAAAATGATCTATGATAACTTCTAACCCATGATGTGACACAGTAAAAATTCCAAACTGTCAAGGCTGGTTTGGGTTCCTGTAATCCAAATACTTCACACCTTGGCTTGTTTTGAAGCTCTCGGTATCCTGCATCTGGTCGAATTGATTTGGGATTTCTATAATATGTGGACTACGTTTCGTAAGCGGTTGAAGTTTACATTCTTATATAGTACTAATAATTCATTTTGTAATTCACTGGATAGCTATGAATTCTTACATAACAACCTACCAATTTCTCACCTCCTTTAGGTTACCAGAACCAGAAACTAATATTTTGTAGATTGCCAGGTCACCAACATTTCGCACGCCACTTTGGCAATGCGACTTATCCAAAAACCTTTCGTAATTATATTCCAAAATAATTATAAGGTCAATTATCGAAATAACTCTGCATCCAGTGATCGGAATTTCACAAATTTTGGCTTAATATAAGTTCAGAACTCGCTAAATCCAGCCGTTTAATTCACATCAAAATTGAACCATTGGGTGATGTGATATTCGTGTATTGTCAGGGAATTCTTGCCGAGATTTTTTTCTGACATATCCGCAGAATATGCGCATGTAAATCATTTTAGTACATTACAAGGTCCCAAAGGGACCCGATCTGACCGAGAATGCATCATGTATTTTTTACTTAAAAGTTCCAAAAGTTTCAAAAGATATAGGCTAACCCTTTTCTTTTTTAGAACCTAGTAAGTAAAAAGGGGTATTTTGAGAATCGTAAGATAGAGCGTTATTAAAAAGAAGATCAAAATGGAAATAGAGAGATTAGAATCTATGATTTACAGATCGCGGTATGGGATAAATGATAGATTCTTTATTCTGATTTTTTAATAGGACATATCAACCATCTAGATAATAAACGG